GGGGGGTAGGAAGGAGGGTGGAATGAAACAGACATGATTACCCTATTTATGACACCCTCTTGGGCCAGAGGTAGAGAAATTGTGCTCCATCTGTATACAATGTGTCAAAATGCATTCTACTGTCTTGTATAACTAATTAGGGCAAATTAAAAAAAAAAAGCATTATACACCATGACCACATAAGATTTATCCCAGGAATATTAGGCTGGTCAACATATAAAAATCAATCAATATAAAACACCAAATTAATAGAAGATGGAGAAAAATCATGGGATTTTTCTCCATTGAAGCAGAAAAAGCACTGGACAAAATCCAAAACCCTTTCATGATAAAAACACTCAACAAAGTAGAAACAGAGGGAACTTTCTCAACCTGACACAGTGTCCACAAAAGCTTCACAGCTAACATCATTAACTGTGGAAGAATGAGAGCTTTCCCTGATATCAGGAATAAGACAAAGATGTCTGCTCTCCCCACTCCAACAGAAATAAAAAGCAAACAAACAAAGGAAGTATCTCTGCAGATAACATAATCCTACAGACAGTCCTAAAGAATCTGCCACAGGGCTGGGGATGTGGCTCAAGGGTAGTGTGCTCTAATCGCCTGGCATGCGTGGGGCCCAGGTTTGATCCTCAGCACCACATACAAAGATGCTGTGTCTGCCAAAAACTAAAAAATAAATATTAAAAAAAAAAAAAGAATCTGCCACAAAACTACTGGCGCTAATCAACAAGTTCAGTGAAGCTGCAGGTCACAAGATCAATATTAAAAGGAAAAAAAAAAAAAATCAGGTGCAGCTCAGCGCTAGTGCACTTGCCTAGCCATGTCCAAGGCCTTGGATTCAATCCCCAGCATCACAAAAAAAAAATAATCAATTAACATTCATTATCAATAAACAATCCAGAATGAAGGTAAAGAAAAGTTAAATTTATAATACCATTAAAAAGAATAAAGTATTTAGGAATATATTTAAGAAAATGCATGAGTTTTACTTTGAAAATCATCAGGGAAAGAAATTACAGATTTGATGCAATCTCTATTAAAATGCAATCGCATTTTTTTTTTTCAGAAACAGATAAGCTGATCCTAAAGTTTGTATGGGAACTCAAGGGACCAGAATAACCAAAATGAATTTGAAAAGGAATAATGTCAAGGGATTCATGCTTTCCAAGTTCAAACTTCCTACAAAATTAACCAAGACACTGTGATACTGGCAGAAAGAAAGAAATGCAGATCAAGGGAATAGAACTGAAAGACACAAAATAAAAACATATATCTAGTGCTACTTGGTATTCTACAAAGGTGCCAGAACTATTCAAGAGGGTAAAGAATTAATCTGTCTTTTCTTTCCTTCCCTTGTTGTGTGCATGTGTGTGTGGAGGTCACTGGGGATTGAACCCCCTCACCCCACCCCCCGCAGCACTTTACCACAGAGCCACATCTTCAATCCTCTTTTATTTTGAGACAGATTCACAGCTGCCTAGCCTCAAACCTGGATTCCTCCTACCTCAGCCTCTCAAGTATCTGAGATTACAAACATGTGCCAAAATTTTATTTTAAAGGTGGATATCTATCCCAGCGGTTCAGAAGGCTGAGACAGGAGGATCAGGAGTTCAAAGCCAGCCTCAGCAATGGGGGAGTGGTGGTGAAGTGCTACACAACTCAGTGAGACCTGGTCTCTAAATAATATACAAAATAGCGCTGATGATGTGGCTCAGTGGTTGAGTGCCCCTTAGTTCAATTCCCAGTCCCCTCCCCAAAAAAGTAAATTGAGCTGAGTGCAGTGGCGCACATCTGTAATCCCAGTGGCTCAGGAGGCTGAGGCAGGAGGATTTCGAGTTCAAAATCAGTGTCAGCAACTCAAGGAGGCCCTAAGCAACTCAATTCAATACCAAAAGGGCATCTAAATAACTAATTTAAAAAAAAATTAAAAAAACATGGGCTGGGGATGTGGCTCAGTGATTAAGCACCCTTAGGTTCAAGCCCTGGTATCAAAAAAAAAAAAAAAAAAGTTGACAAGTGCAGAAGGATAAGAGAGAAACAAAAATGCAGACAATTCAGCGTAGAGTTCTGTTTAGTGAGGGGAAAAAAACTTAAGTTTTCTATTAAAATTTATAATAAATATTTCAGGTGGCAGGCTTTGTGTAATGCCCACCCTGGGTTGTGTCCCCCTTGCCCCTTTGGTCTTGAGGAACTTCTACTACAGAGTTACAATCTCATCCCATTTCATTTTGAGACAGATGCGATCCTCCTGCATCAGTTTCCCAAATTGCTAGTATTATTACAGGAATGCCAGCATACCTGGCAGAATTAGTGTTTTTAACCCTATATTAAGGAAGCCAGGGTTTGAGGATTAAGTAACATACTCTGAAAGTCACAACTGGTGGTGGAACTAGGGTTCCACCCCTGCTGGTCAGATCTCTGGGTCTCACAGGACACCACCCCAGCTCTAACTTCCACTTTTTTTGTGTGTGTGGTTTTTTTTTTTTTTTTTTTTTTTTTTTTTTTTTTGTACCAGCGATTGAACTCAGGGACACTGGACCACTGAGCCACATCCCCAGCCCCTATTGTGTATTTTATTTAGAGATACGGTCTCACTGAGTTGCTTAGCGCCTTTATGTTGCTGAGGCAAGCTCTGAACTCAGGATCCTCCCGCCTCAGCCTCCTGAGTACTGGGATTTTGGGAACGCGCCACTTGGCCAGGCTACACGACCTTAATTGTAACGTGGGAAATCCAAGGCCTGCAGTTTGGCCACTGCCAAGTCCTAGGTGGGCCTTCAGGGTCAGGCTTAGGAAAACGCTCCTGTGTTCAGACACAGCGGCGACACTCCGCGTCCCCTGCCCCCGGGGGCTTACGGCTGAGGATCCGACCCCGCAGGGCGAGCGCACGTGCAGCGAGCTTGCGCTCTCCGGGCTCGCGGGCCCAGCCCCCCACCACGCCCAGCTCAGGCCGGCGTTCCACGAGCGCGCTGCCGCCCACCCCTTTCCTGGCCTGCCGGGTCGCCTACCGGACCCCGAGATCTTTAGCCCGACACTAGCAGCCCGCCGATCGAGGCCAGGGAGCACCTCAGCCAGCACAGACTTACCTGACCGGGGCGTCCTTTCCCGCTCTCATTTACCGCACAGCTCCGCAGACGCACCGACCAGACGGGGAAACCCCGGAAAGATCGAGGTGCAGCGACAGCCAGTTAGGTGAGCCGGTTTCTGTGTTGTCGCGGCGGGTGGGGCTAGGGCAGCAGGCCTTGTCTTCTCATTGGACGCGGCTTCTGTCTGTCTACGTCAATAGGGGCGATCTTACGGAGAGGGCGGGGGCTTGGGGCTTTGGCTCCTCCCAGGTCTGGGATGCTTGTGAGCTCGCTCAGCATCTTGCAGAGCTTGGATCCCAGGCAATCCCTCAGGAGTGGTGGATGGCTTCTCTTGTTAGAAGTCTTCTTGCAGTTTGGGGTCACTATGCAAACCAGCAACTGGGCAGGGGATGTAATTAATGGCAGAGAATTTGCCTACCATTTGTGAGGCCCTGGTTTTGAATGCCAGCACTAAAAAAACAACATAAAATAACAATCAAAAACCAAAACAAACAAAACAACCACTTGTGATACTGAAGCAGGAGGATTGCAAGTTGAAGCCTGCCTTAGCAAGACCTTGTCTCAAAATTAAAAAAAAAAAAAATAATGAAAAGGGCTGGAGGTGGCCAGGGGTGGTGATGCACACCTGTAATCCCAGTGACTGGGGAAGCTGAGGCAGGAGGACCTCAAGTCCAGGCCAGCCTTAGCAACCTAATGAAGCCCTACACAACTTAGCAAAACCTGTCTTGAAATATAAATAAATAAATAAATGTCTGGGGGTGTAACTTAGTGTTGGTGTTGTAGGGACAGACATGGCAAGGCACCAAAGATAGCAGGAAACAGTTTGATTTGGCTGCAGCCAGGCTCAGAGTGAAAAACCAGCCTCTACCTCAGAGCAAAGCCTGTCCAAGAAAGGGACTTTTGTCCTTGGATAGACCCACAGAGCACTCTTAGGCACATTCCCACCTTGCTAAGTTGTTTATCTACAAATAACAGGAGAGATCTGCTACACCAGGTATCCCTGACTCAGGCTAGGTGGGGACCCATAGCAACCCCCTAGCAGCCACCAGTCAGCATGAGACAGAGAAATACCTGGGATGCCAGCTGACCTTCCCAGTAGTTTATGGTGATTGATAACGTGTTGGGAAACTATGTAATTCAGCATGATCACCCCTCTTGGCTTAAACCAATCAGTTCAAAAGAATGCCCCTTTTGTACTGACCAATCACCCCTACCCAACTAGTTCCCGTCAGTAAATGTGCTAATCATGTTTTAGAGTTGTTATTTGATTTTCCCGCAGTGTGTGATGATTTGCTAAGAGATGATATAATGTATGTGGGAGTCCCTGCCTCCTCCAAAGAATGTATAAAACTGCTGCAAACCCTGGGCTCGGGACCTCTCAGCGTCACCAGTTGCTGTGTGCACGCAGAGGACCCAGCTAGCTTGCAATAAACACTTCTTTGCTGCTTACATTGATCTTGGGTCTCTGATGGTCTTTTGGGGGTCCCATATTCGAGCATAACAAGAGGGCACAGCTTTTGCTGTAATCAATCAATTCCCTGAACCCCGAGTTCAGGTAGCTTCAGAATTTTATACCCAGCATGTAAAGGGAAGGGCTCAGAAGTTCAAGATCTGCAGAAGTTCACATAAAAGCAACTTTTTCTTTCACTGTTTTGGGCAAGTTAACCCTTCAAGGACAACTCCTGCTTCTTCTCCCCTTTCTTTCCCTGACAACTGTTACCATGGAGCCCAATTAGTAACTTCTCTTATCTTAGAAATGTAGACATCTCTGTGAAGCCCAGCTCAAGGCCAGAGGCCTTGTTTGCACATTTCTACAAACTACCATATTGGAAACATGTTTGTGAAAAACTAGTAAGGGGGTGTCCAGCACTTAAAGCACCAATGTCTTCCCAGCCAGTGGCCAAGTAAATTAGGGCAATACAAAAAAAGGAAGTTTATCTACATTGAACTCTTTTGTAGAGACTCTTGCTGACAGTCCTAAAAACAGCCATAGTGAAGATTTCTGGAGAAGCCCAGTTAAGACTTTTTGTGGAGGAGGGGGTGCCACTCCAGTGGAGCGCCCATGGTTCAATCCCATGGATCCAGGCTTATCATCCTGATGGCCAACTTAAGTGAAAGCAGCCATTTTAAGAAAAAAGTTTTGCTTTCTTGCCCAAGGGCCTTTCTGAGAAAGACTCACCACTCCCTCATACCAACCCAACCCTTAGCAGGGCTCTGATTCCTGAGCCTCCCCCATAACAGTCCCAGAACTCAAGCCTGTTTTGCCTCTCTCTCCTGTAGAGAGACGGCCTTTATTTCTCAGCTCTGACTAATAAACTCGCCTTTGTATCTCTGCCTGGTCTCCATCTTTCTGATGCCCTCTCCAACTCAAAAGTCTGTTCATACAACCAGTATTTCTAGAATGATCTATGTATAATATGCCTCTTCCAGACAACCAACAGTCATGATACCCTGTACAAAGAAAATGGAAGGAAGCCTATGATGGACACTTGGTCAGAATTGACAGTTCTGTGAGGAGAGCCAGGTTTAAAGTAGGCCAGACTTAATGGAGACAACAGCCCTGACATTATCATGTCCCCTGTTAACCCAGGCTTTTGTGAATGGCTGGATGCATTAGAAACTAGGTTGTGGGGCTTATTGATTGTACCCATGTGTGAAGGCATTTCAGTCAGTAGGATTTTGACACTTGAGAAATTTACAAATATATGTAGAGCATGAAGTTTTAACACAATGGATCTCCTCTTGGTGAGTACAAATCCAGCTAGCAAACCAGAAGATAAAACAAGGGAGAAAGATTTATTACCTGCAGCAAGTAAGCAGGTTATTTGCAATGCAATGCTTTTGGTCAAGAAAGGAAGCATGGTGTTTCTATTGGGGAGCCTACAAATATTCATATAGGAAATCGTGTGTAAAGGGCAGATTCTGAGCATGCTCATTGTAAGGTGTGCGCTTTTTGAGCATGCTCAGTTTAAACTTGTGTAACAGCGGTAGCTTTACCTCCTGAATGTAGCCCTCAAAGCTCTAAGGCTTTTTTTTTAATGTTTTTTCTTTTCTCTTCTCCCCTCCCCTCCCTAACAAGATTGGGGAGACAGCGTTATCTTTTCTTACCCTAGTTAATTGCCCTAGAACACACCCACTACAGGAAGGAGATGCCAGCTGAGGATCTGGGAAGTGAATATCTCCCAAATTAACAAGTGAATCCTAACACACCCTGGGGCCCCCTACCAGAGCTTTAACACCCCCCCCAACGCCTCCAGACTTTGGGACAGGAGTCCCCTGAGTTTCTCCTTTGCTTAACAAAGCAATGGTACTACTGCTTCCCTGAATGTTGAAGTCTAACACCAGAGGAGCTCGCAGAGTCAAGTGTAGAGAGGAAAGTGGAAGGCTTTATTAAAGGATAGCAGAAAAGACTTTCCTGGGAGGAAAAAGGGGAATCCGTAGAAAGGGGAGGTCTTCTCCCTTTTATATCTAAGGTCTTCTTTTGTCCTCTACATTCCTGCCCTTTATTTCCCACTATCCTGCATGATGGGGGTTGCAGGTGGGAAACAGGTGGACTGATGGAGTGGGGACATTAACATTTCAATTCCCAGGTGTTGTTCTGGTTTCCCAGGCTCAGATCGAACTCCATTTTCTTTATGGACTCCATTTTTGATATGCTCTCTATTTTCTTTATTGAACTCGATATTAGACCTGATTTACCTGTCTACACTAACTACCTATTTTTAAATCTGGCTTCAGCAATAAAACCTTCTTTTTTCCTTTTTCTCAAAATCCTGTCCTCATCATTAAATTGACATTGATTGGCTTTGGGGACAGGGACCGAGCTTTCTGACACAGTTGATTCAGAAAGGAGAGGACACATTTCTAGGCATGCTCAGCGTAAGGTACATGTTCAAAAGAGGATGATGGTCATCAGGAAATTTCTGGGCATGCTCTCAGCTCAATATTATAATAGACCAAATTTACTGTAGGTTGTCTAAAAAAAAGAAGTCAGAGTTATAGGGTCTTAATTTTGAAGCCAGATTTAAAGTTAGGTAGTCAGTGTAGTTAGGTAAATCGGGTCTAATATGGAGTGAAATCTAAAATGGAGGCCATGCTGAGAATGAATTCCCGGAAAAGTTGAGCAACTCTCGGAATGTTAATGAAGTCCAGGAAACAGCCCCCAACAGATTTGAAGATAGCCCATCCCAAAGAAATGTTAATGAACAGCAAACTTAAAGATGCTGACTCCAAGTGCCCAGATTACTTCTTTGGCCCACCTGTGTCCTAACCCTCCGGGCCTTCCCACCTACATTCCATCACTGAAAGAACCTATAAAATGGAGAGGCAACCGCACTTCCACGGATTCCACTTCTTGGGTCCCCTTCTTCCTCCGGGAGAAGTCTTTTCTGCTGACCTTTAATAAACTTCTAATTTCTACTCTGACCTTGCCTGGGCGTGCTTCTCTGGTGTTATTCTTCAACATTGGGGAAGCAAGGACTCGTCACCGGTCAACAGCGGTAACAATTGAACATTTTTTTTTAAAGAGAGAGTGATAGAGGAGAGAGAGAGAGAGAGAGAGAATTTTTAATATTTATTTTTTAGTTCTCGGCGGACACAACATCTTTTGTTTGTATGTGGTGCTGAGGATCGAACCCGGGCCGCACGCATGCCAGGCGAGTGCGCTACCGCTTGAGCCACATCCCCAGCAACAATTGAACATTTGAGCAGCCATTTTAGGAGGTAAGTTTCACTTTCCTGTACTTCCTTTTCCCTGGACTCCCCCCACCCCCATTAGTGACCTACCCCATGGTCCCATAACCCTAAGCCTATCCCAGAAGGACCCCTTTGCCATGGCACCATCGACCTAAGCCAATCCCATGCTATTCCAATCACCTAGCTCTGACCAGCACCTATCCCATAGCTCCAACTCCAAACTGAATAAAGCTTTGTGTGGATCTCTGTGATCTTGGCTGATTCTTTGAAAGTTTTCCCCAAAGAATTTTAGCAGAAACAAAACAAAAAGGACCACTTTGAAGCTATGTTAATGTAGGAGTTTGTCTCTAAAGTTCTCTCACTTGAGGCAGCCAACAGTGTGGCTTGGTGATGAGGAAATGAGAAGAGAGAGTGTAATCAGTGAGGACCAGCTT